TTTATGGTGAGTACAATAAGTCTTTGGCTTGGAGATGATAATTTCATAGGTTTTTTTAATATCCAAATATTTTACTTTTATATTATGGTATTTTCAACACATTGCTCACACTAAAGTCTTCCAGAACACACAATGTACTTTCCTTTATTAAAAATACTCTTTAGGGACTGTACTTTTGTCCTTTCATGGCTATCACAGTATGAGAGAACTAAATTCTATGCCATGTTTTTCTGTTTTAAGACCCTGATCAGCAAACACCTAAGAGAGCTAGCTTTAAATTGTCTGTCATGTGAAGACTCCTTTTCCTTTGACATACAACGCTAATCCTTGGGGAATTTTGCTTCACTGGTCCTTCCTTGGTTTTAATAAATAAATTTTAACTCTCTCATGCTTATTTCCATCTTGTGAGTCCAATGAGATGGAAACATCTGAAGCCTGTTGGTTCTTCTCACCACAGAAGGTGAGACAACATTGCCCAAATGCCTCTCCTGCTTGTTCAGTATATTTCTGCTCATCACCTTCTATTTCCTACTATGTACAATGGTAGCCCCTTCTCCTGCCTGGGGTGATTAATAGATAACTACTTTCTTCCTGAGTTTCACTTTCTTTGGTTGCTCAGCAGCCAGATCCCTTCTTCATAGTGCTGGAGAACTGCTGCCAGTCATAGTAAGCTCCTCAAGAAATGTTAACCTTCACTGATATGCCACATTACCTTACTTAGCCTTTCATTTACTTTTCCTGCTCTTTATCTGCTAGACTCATACTGCTGTATTTGAACTGAAGGTGGCAGCCAAAAAGGGACAGATTCATATCTTTCTCCCTTCTAATTTGCCACAGTCTTCATACTTTCCATCTTTTGCTCTTTGTGGAGTTCTCTTTTCATGAAGACAATTTTTATCAGCCCAATTCAAAGAAGGCCAGACATCTTCCTTACATATCTTGCTTACTATTCACAACAATCTTTCCTTGTATCTAAGATGTCATATAGCTTGGCTCTGATTACACTTGCATAGCTGTAAATATATTTTCTTAAATGGAGTTGTTCCTGACATGAGTGGTAGGCCCTGTAATTTTGTAGCATAGCAACTCACTTTAGCTAAAATAGGGGTTTATTATGATTTTGTAAAAGGAAGATGCTTTCATTCTGACCTAGATAAGAATCTCTCCTCCCTCCTTAAGACAACTATGAAAATGAGACTGTAAATCTCCTATGGAGAAGCGACTTGGACAAATCAATAATTTATGTTATGATTTTGAGAGACTTTCACCTTGAGGAAGTGCCAGCCCTATCATTATTCTGTAGATCTTGTTTGAAAATGTTTTCCATTACTAATCGAGAGAACCTTTTTTTTTTTCTTATTATTTATACAAGGCTCCTTTGATTTTCAGTGTGTGACACTTCAGAATGAAAATGGTGTCTGCATTAATTAAAAAAGCAGATGAGAACTCTTACTTTCCTTCCCCCTCACTTAAAATCCAAGTAAAATGCTGGCAGGCAACACTCAGCACGTAGTGCTCTACTTCCAACCATGAACCCCTTTTATAGATTTCTGTCATTTTAGCTGCTTCTGGCTAAAATCACTGGTTACAACAGTGACTTGGAAAGAAAAATGAGCAGTTAAGAGCAAAACAGGGGGTAGGTACACGTGGCAATTAAATAAGCCTTCTGCAAATCTCAGGCAGAGAGCATGTCAGTCATACAGTTCCTAAAGCAGACCCTGGCAGTGCCAGGTTCATGCTGAGGCCTTTGGGGGAAAAAAAACATACAAGTTTATGCCCATGCACCTTTCATTTGACCTCCACAGCTTACTCAAGTGCAGACTGCCCTGTCAACAGCTCACTTCCCCAGACCCTCCCCATTGTTTCAAGAAATCTTCATTATGACTTGTAGCAGCATGTTCTAAAGCTGGCTTGGTTTGCCCACAGGATCTCTTAGAGACTGGGTAATTAATGGTCGCCCATTCTTACCCACTGCACCGTAAGTCAAAACCACTCACTCAAAGTGAGGTAGCATGGCTGGGTCTGCCCACACAAAGGACAGACACAGGAGCTCCTGGAATGGCACAACAAACAGCAAGGCCAGGGCCAGTCCCTTCACATAAGTTTCACATTTCCACCTCGACCACTGCAGGCAGCTGTGACATTTCTGAACCGTATCTAGAGACAGCAGATGACCTTCAGGCCTTCTGGAAGTTGCAGAACTTGTGTCTGTCTGCTGTATGCCAAGTAAATTAATTCCCTTTACTTCTTTATAGCAAATCAAATCTGAGATGTGACAAAGGGCTAAGAAATCTGGGAGAATAGGAATTATGGGAAAAAAAGAAATTTAAAAAAATCTTTGGTCTAGGATTTTCAGTGTTAGCACCAACTTCCACCTCCAATGGATTTAAACTTTGTTTGAAATGAAGCACCACCCTGCAAAATTTTTACAGATTTCTGGAACGAAATTACTTTCTTTGTGCAAACATTCGACTATCACTCCAAACACTCTTTCTCACAACTCACTGCTATCACTGTGGAAAAAAAAAATTCTGAGCTATATGATGCTGGAAATATTCATCTATTTTGCTTCACAATATGTAAAAAAATAAACCCATATAGTATTGAAAGTAAAAAAAAGAAAAGAAAAAAAAAAACAGCTCACCAAAAAAAAACAAAAATTAAACTTTCCCAAACTTTTCAAGTTTTGATAGTCTTTATATTGTAGTCTTACATTACTAACATAACATCAAGCAGGGCGCAAATCTAAAACAAACTCCAGAAACATAACTTTCCATCAAAAGAGAATGCACGGTTTTATTCAAGTATTTTCTTTTTCACACACAATTAAAAACAATGTAGGTAATGAATGAATTGATAGGATGGCAACGAAGTTCATGGTCCCTGTACAATTTAAGATTATTCAACCCTTAACCTCAAGGTGAAAAATAATAACTGTTGGGTTTTAAATAACATCAAAATTTGATTGAAACTCCCAGTACACATCAAGAATTACGCTGGGAAAGGAAACACTACAACCTCTAGATATACAGATGTACAGATGTCTAGATTCAGATGTACAGACTGGGAACTATAAAGCTCCAAGTCCCTCCTAACTCCTAGTCTCACTTATTTCCTCCCCATTTTTATATTAGATTTTTTCTTTTTTCCTTACCTCCTTACCTTTTTCCTTACCTGCCCCTACAAAGCAGCTTAAATATCCACAGCATTAATGGCAGCAACTCTGTGACTAAGACAAACTGATGAATATGTAACATGATCTTAAAAAATGCATGTGAAATATGCAAAGGCATCAACTTAATGAATACTTTCATTTTATCCTTTTTGTTTGCATCGAAGGGTCAGTTTACCAAACAATGAGCATCAGAATAAATTACTTGTATTCTGAAACCCAGATAATTCTTCTGGCTAAACAAGGAGAATTATTTGAAATTAAGCAAAGGACTGGAATTTGTCTACCATAGGGTGCCACAGGATGCACTTTTTAAATATCAAGGCATCCAGGACATTTTCATATGTCATCTGAGATCTTAAAAATGTGACATAAGAAGTAAGCTTCCATCTTAGCAGTCAGCAACCAGAAACTATCTAAGAATTTTCACTGCCTTTAGAAGACTGTTGTAACAATTATTAATGTTGATTTCTGGAACTGAAATGTGAATACTTTGCAAAACGTAAAACCAAAAATATGTTATTTCACCTACTTGCCCTTTAAGGGTGACAGAGATGGGCTTTTATTTCTGCAGTGGTGCATGATGAGTGTCCATACAGAAAACTAGGGGTACAGTAGAAACACTCACTCAGAAACCTCACAGACTGGTGTCTTTGGGTATTGCCTATGAAGTGTAACTTTAAAAAGAAAGAAAAACATGAAGGAATTACATATAATTCCAGTCAGTCTGGTAAGATGAGCAACAGCATGAGAGTTGGGTAGTTATCTCAAAACTTCGGCATTTATAAACACTAGGTTTCAGAAACAATACTCAGTGTAAAATCTGACATAACTTACATCTGTATGAAAGTGTTTAAATAATTTTGAATTGACACATTCCTAATAATTCCCAGCCATGTTTGTTTGGAAACAATTAAACAAAACTTGTTTAAAAAATAATCTGTTGATGCATTTTCTTCATCTCTTCCAACTAATAATTCAACTCCAGAAGTTTCACCACAGTTTTTATAATGTATGCTTTTTTTTCACCTGGGTCATTTCTTACCCATGTGAAAGTTATATCTCACTTTTTGCCTTCAACAGTTTGAAAACTTTAGAGAAATCATTAATATTAAGAAGAATGCCAAAGACGATAGTTTTCTCATCTTGTCTTTGTTTCTCTTTTCCTCTGGGCCACATAAGGATGTTCAAGTCAGCAGAGACAGTGTTGCTCTTTAAAAAACTTGCTGATTTAATATTTAGTAGGTGATGGATTCCACCTCAACAATCAGACTCAGGAATAAAAATAGTCTGAATCCCACTCAGTGCCATCCACAAATCCATAGATAGAAACCCAAAGAATTGTACAGCACAACATTTCCTGCTCAGTAAGCTAGAGACAAGCTGCTGTGATTCCCTATATATACACATATATTCTGAGCTGATGCCTGTCAAACCAGCCCCTGGTTAAGTGGCAAGCATAATATAGCTTCCTTTCCCTAGAGGTAACTGTCCTCATTACTGAAGCGAATGAACCCCTAGGTGTATAATAGAATCTTCTTTAAAATATTCATCATATGACAGCTGATATTTCAGCCATATTTGGCTGGAATGCTACATTTTGGGAAATTTAGGACTCCATAATCAATTAACCTAGCATTTTGCTTGCCATCTAATTTTTTTTTATCATAAATCATTAAACATTTATGTTAGCATGTAAGTTGTTATTCTCCTATTCAGGACTGAGCAAGACAAGCAGACCAGGGTTTCTCTTACAGCAATATCCATTAAAACACCTGGACTAGCAAGGCTGAAACTTAACACTTTCCCTCAGCCAAAAAACACCAACTTCTCCAAGATGAGTCACATCATCCAGCGTGGTTCTGTTTCCTTCACACTTCAGAATCAACATTTCAGGCTGTGAAAACCTCCCTCTCCCTCCCAGGTCTCAGGAAGATGGTGGGCAGGCGGGGGGAATAACACCAGGGCCAGAATACTCCACCAGAAATCAGAACAAAGAATCTGTGTAGGGAGAGAAAGAGACAAATACAGCAGCAGGCTATTCAGCCCAAACATTTCCATTCTCAGACACCAAAAAGTAGTTTTCTTTTTGCCTCTCTATTCTTACTTCTTTCTTAAAGCAAATACTGTATTTTTCCCTGCCTACTCTTCCTATTTTTTGACTACCTCTTCTTAATTACAGCCACAAACTTCTGTAGGTTCTATTCCACCTGCCCTTCCACTGTATCACCTCCCAGCACGAGTACCTGCTGCCTCTTCAATTTAACCTTCCACAACCCTTCCCTGCCCTGTTCCATGCACAGCATGTAAGGCAGGTACACAAGTGAGCCCCACCAGTGCAGAGGGAGAGCATCAGCGACATACAAGGCTGCACAGGAAGTTTACACTGCACTTGCCCAAACTTTGCAAGCCTTCCTGACACCAACACAGCATTCCAGCACACCAGCATCATTTCTGAGTGATTTCTCATGTGATTAGGGCTGTCTCTCCATTTCCACAGGATACTCAGACGTTGGTGGCAAAAAATCATTCTTACTCTCATCAGGGCTTGTTTGTCATCAGAACCCCTCTTTAATTTTAGTCATTTGCTTAGTTTTAGACTACTGATTTCATTATACTAGTCTAATTAAAATTATTTGCTGACAAATATTGTCAGTAAAGTAACAGTTGGTTAAATTAACACTGGCTTAGCCTTAGCTTTTTTATCAGCTTAACTATGCAGCACTGATTGATGAGCATTTTAAAGCAGGAATTCCTTTCTTCAGGTCAAAGGCAGAGAAGGAAAAGCTGGAGATTTGAATGTGATACATCAACAAGTCTTACCAAAGAAAGTCAGACATAACTGTGCACAAGTCAAACCAAACTCACCTCTCCACAACTTCCCTGCAAGCTCAGTCATAATAACAAAGATGCATTTGGCCCAACCTGTTAAAACAGCATGAGCAGAGCTTAATATCTTGGTCTAAAATTACTGTTATAAGCAATATATCTTGTTGTCTGATACTTATTTACTTTTTTGGCATAAACTGAGTATTTCCAGACCACAATTATTCCCACAGACAAAACTTAATTGCAATATTCATCACCGTATATGTCTAAATGATAGGGATGCTGGAGTGTTTTACAGTGAAAACACATCCAATTTTAATGAAGTTCAAAAGAAGAAATGTTTATTTATGGATTAAAGTACACAAAGATCTGCTGCTCACACTTTCTGAAATACTGACAGCTTTTTTTTTTTTAAGAGAGAGAGAGAAGGAGTGCAAGGGAAGGAAAGACTTCACATCTTGTACATAGTTGTGGTGAGTGGATCAATGTTCCCAGCAGACAGGCAGAGAGCTACTGGGTCTTTTGACACAAGTTGAGATTAGATGATATACAGCTGAAGTCTGAAGACAAAGTTGCCTCTAAGAGGTTGCCTCTGGTGAAAGGGTGGAGATGTTGTGCTGATAGCCTATTACAGCTGCAGGGGGATGTCTTGACATGTCTTGAGAAAGACTGCATACTTCTCTGTTTGGGGCTCAGCTTTGCTACTGTTCAAATTAAGAGACATCTTTTTAACACTCCTAAAGTTCTGAAGAAAAAAATTAACAGCATCCTGTAAAAATTTATTTTCTATTTAATAGGTACTTAGGAGAAAAAAGAAGCATAACTAAATACCTAAAATTAGCCCTTCTACTGAAGACTTAAATTGAAAACAACTTTAAGAGAAGATGTGAAGGCTTCAGAGTGACATGTAAATATGATTTTCTATAACTTTCATAGAACTATGAAAAAAAATTAAATACGGAGAAAAATTCCATTCTTGGATAAAATTTCCAGAACTCTTTTCCCTACTTGAATTTGCAACCACTGCCTATTGAATGAGAGTTGCTGCTGGTGGTCTTCAGAATGATCCACTAGCTGATGGTCCACAGAAATATTACTACGGGGAATACCAACCTCCCTGAAATACAGATTCAGCCTGTTTGGAGTCAGATGTTGGGAAAGAAACTAGAAAACTGTGGCTGTGCATAGCCTTGACAGTACTTCACTAAAACAACAAGAACCCAGGTTTGCACAGGCTCTAGAAAGTTAACTGGTGCAAGAAACCTTGATTGTTTTAAAATTAAAAAAAAAAAAAGATTTTCATGGATTCTCTCTTCAGGCCTTCAGACTGGCTGTTCAGGCAATTCAGTTTTGGGATCAGTGTAAATGGGTAAAGGAAAATATGACAGACAGGTAATCCCTACTGCTCTGAAAACCACTGCTAACACTGACGTGCTGTCAAAGCATCCAAAGACAAGAAAAGATACAATCTGTTCCCATTATTATAGTCTAAATCTTTATGGATTCAACAACAGGAAAAAGGTAAGTCCAGAGTTAGGCCTCAGCTTACATTTCAGGGACAGAGAAAGAAAAAAAATACAAATAATTTGTGCTAAGCCAGCTAACAGCATGCTGCTCCAACACTCTGCCTCAGGCCATGCAGCCTCAGCTGCACCATCTGCCCTGGAAAGACTCCAGGGAGGAAGGAGCAGCTGAGAGTGCAACAAGTCGAGAATCCAGTATAACCATGACTGTTCTGTGCTATGAGTTCACCTGAAACCTCACCTCTCTGGATCCTGTTCTCAGACACCTACTTTCTTAAATTGTTATTTTTGATGCGTCCTCCTCTATTCAGCTGCCTTAATTACTTGTTTCTCTATAAATGCTGGCTTCTTATGCCTTTCCACTGTGTAACCTTCTCCCTGAATTCACAAGGGACAGCATCCTGGGTAACAGACACAGCAAAATGCCATTTACAATGGAGGTATTAGGTACCAGGAATAAAACACAGGATGAGATTGCTTTTAAGAGCAGTAAAATCCCTTCCAAAATCTTGTGACATCAATTATCAGAAATAGAGATAAAATGTATTTCCTATTTTCAGCAGCAAAATTCCCATTGATTTTAACACTGCAGGATATGTCCCTGTGCACCGAAACAAATCATCTGTATATGAATGCAGTCAGGAAGAAGTGGCCTCCAGCAAAGCAATTTTTTATCTTTTGGTTCTGAGGAGTAACAGTAAAAAGGACTGTCCCTTCAGTCTGTACCTGTGAAGTCACCCACAAAGAGATGTAACATTCTGGATCACACTCTTTTGTTTCCCCTTTCTTTGACATCTTACCATGCTTCCCATTTTGTTTATAAATTTCTCTTTTATTCTTGACATGCAAAAGTTAGTGACTTCATATGAGGCCATAATGCAATGGCTTGTCCTTTCTAAAGGTAGACAGTGTTAGCGAAGGAATAAAATCCAATAGTCTCCTAGAGGAAAGAAAAAGAAGGCAGTATGAATTATCTACAGACTTGATGTGAAAACTCCATTTTGGCTAGCAGATCAGAGAGCAGACTGGGGATATTTAAGTGCAAGTCTACAAATTCAGCTGGAGAATGTGACTATTGTGCTGGCAGTGCAACAAGACACACTCCCTTTTGTAATCCTCATTAACAAGAGAAAAAGGACAAGGAAGAATGACTCATGAGCTGCCCTGCCTCAACCTGGGCAGAGGAGCTGCAGCTGTCCCCTTGTTGCACACTGTACACCCTAAAACCCCTTCTACTGACTTCAGAGGCAGCAATTCCCACAGGGCATCTCCACATCAGACTAGAAGACGCTCCTGGCAGTGCAGAGACTCTTCTCCAAAAATCCCTCCATGCTCCTGCAGGTGTACACAGGTCTGTGTGACAGGGAAGGAACCCTCATACTGAGGGATGACTGTATGTCTGAAATATTTTGCTATTGTCTTCATTACACCAATATCAAATCTTAAATTGCCTTTAGCAGGAGCAGGGTAGGAACCTTGCATGGCATCACATGAGTTGCTGAATGGAAAATGCACATTACTTGGAAACTGCCTTCAAAACTCATTTTAAAGAGAGACTTTGGAAAAGTCTGACATTTTCATCTTTGCAGATGGATTAAAAAAGATAACTGCAAATAATTTAGAAAACTGCTTATGTTTTTTACATGCATTTACATTATTTTCTGCTTTTCAACACCGAAATCCCGATTTTTTCCACTGGCCTTACTGCTCTGCAGGCAAGCACTCTCTGCTGCTAACTCTTCATATTCCCGAGGTAAAGGCAAGACCTGTTCTTACTTGTTGAAAATTAGCATAGAGCAAAATTTAATTATCAGAAAAGTACACATTACATAGGCAATTGTAAAGAGTTCAGTTCTTAGGATTTTGAAGGAGGTTATTTCTATACTTCACTTACATGAAATGTTTTCTGAAATATTCACATGTATATTTGAATCCATTCTTGGGACCTGGATGTCCAGCAGATGGATTACAAAATCTGACTTGTAGCTCTTTTATTATCAGTGCTTTCTGCTGCCAAATCCATGTCCTCTGACATCTCTGATACAATCCCATCATCACTTCAGGGAATATGAAGTGATACACAGCAGACTAGCACAGAGTAGAGGTGTTCAAACGTGTTCAAACACTACAGGAGAGGGATTCAAATGTCCTAGGCCAGAGAAGAATGTAAGGACACATGAATTAGAAGGAATGAGCAAAATGTCCTCTTCACGCACTGCAGTGGGTCCATGTGTGTGTGGGCACATTGCTTCCCTTCATTCACAATCAGTTCACAGACTGAAGCCACCCTTACCTCCTTTCTGCTCCTGGAGAGGGACATGCAGCTACACATGACCTCAATGAACATCAAACATGCTGTGAGACACAGAAAGGTATCTGTAGGAAAAAAAAAAAAAAAGAGGAATTAAAAAGCAGCATAAATATACTGTCTCAGGACAGAACAGTTCAGAAGAGCAGTTAGAGGATGCGGATCCAGCCATTTGGTGTCAGTTCTTACCCAGTGCAATAATACTTAACTTACTGCACTGGTCAGTAAGAACCAGGCAGGGAGACTTAATTTTATTCCTTAAAGGGAGAAGACTAGGAGACATTAGGAAAGACCACCGGTATGATTCTGTCCTCAGCATAAACAGAGGGGCTTACCAGGCCACTGTTTTCCATAAACACATTTAGAAGTTTGGCACATTTTGCCAGCTGTGTGACCTATTTATATTCCATTGTATTTTTCACAAGGGCAAATGTGCAAAAAACAAACTTCTGCCAATCCAAACAAAGGCAGTAAGACAGAGCTGTCCTGTGCTACTACATGTACTCCTCAGAAAAACCTAGTAGGACATTCAGAGGCTGTAAGGATGAGGAGACCCATGCTCACGGCATGCTTGCATTCCTCTCCTGGGATCATACCAGAACACTGCAGACTGTGTCTATGATAAGACAGCTTTCCATGCATGGAAAAAACAATGCCAAGGAATCTTTTAAGATAACAGTCTCACCAACTGCAGTCAAGAGCTTAATGAAGACATCTTTCACGAACCAAGTGAAGACCTCTGGAAACAATCCAAAAGAGGATGCTGGGGAGCAAAATACTGCACTAATAATAAATTGGGTTCCTATGTCCAAATTTTTTATTGCATTTTTGGCTATTTCCATCTGTAACAGCCAAGAAAGATGAAGGTACTCTGCATAGAAAGTTATAATAGTTGCTTTACATAGTGTATCTGAAACTCCCATTTCCCACACTTACATCCTTACCATTGAGATTCACAGTCCCAAATCCTTCCATTAAATTACTGACCCAAATAATGCATTGCAGTAAGTACAAGCAGTGCAACAAAGTCTGTGCAAGTTTAGATGCAATTTTAAAAGTACATGTATTAGTATGTATCAGATGCTTTTTAACTTATCTAGTCATCTTAAATATACAGCATTAATCAACTATCTATATTTAAAAAGCAATACTATGCATGATACAGATGGTAGCATCCAGATTATGACAGGCACTGAAATTTGTGATCCAGGTTTCCAGGTTCTTGCAGGTGGAGATCAATACAGTCAGCCAGACACAGCAATGTGGAATATGTCCTTGCCCATGGCAAAGGGGTTGGAACTAGATGGTCTTTTAGGTCCCTTCCAACTCAGATCATTCTATGATTCTATGATTCTATCAGTAAACTTTCCTTTTCTCAGATGACCTTTTACGTCTGTCTATTTCTTTAGGATCTACTGCTTTTAAGGACCAATTTTATTCTACTTTAGGGACAAACTATTCTTTTCCCTAATGGGAATAATCTGTAGCAACTATCAGTCACCTTTTTAAGAGATGCCCATTCAAAGGCATTTTCCAGAGACTCACATTGATCGCATGAAAAAATATATTCTGTAGGAAGCTCTGATGCAAATGCACTGAATGCTTGACATTTTTATGATTATGCTAATATTGTGACATTTGATGTGCTTGTTTTTGAATAAACATAGTGCAATTAAGTTCTCTGAAAGAAAACCAAAAAGAAACAGATCAATCACTGAGAAGGCAGGAAGAATGAAAACTGCTTCTACCAGCTTTGGAAACAAATGCCTGATAGTCAATGGCAAACACATTTGAACTAGATATTTCATGAGATTTGTCAGTTTTACTCTGAAAGAGCACTGATAGGGTGACTTTCAAGTTTTAGTACAAGCAGTGGCTTCACTTTCACCTGTTCCCTCTACCTTTGAAGTATATTAGCATTTGTCATAAAATGACTCCTTCCATCACTGAAAGAATTACAGCTCTTAGACAACTATTACTTCCTCTTAGACTTTTTCAAACTATGGATAACCCAGTTAGGTCATGGAACCTCGTTTTTAACTTCAGCCCCTTTTAAAGGATGTTGCATGCTTCAATTATATTCCAAATTAAAGTAGGAGAGAGATAAGGTTTATAAATGTCAATATAAATTATTTCATAATTCCTCTCCCTCAACTACAGACCAGAAGATTAACAGGAAGAACCAGAGAACTGAAAGAGGCACGACTGGAACAGTGTGGTGTTTGATGGCAGGAAGGTTGCATGGATCAGAGCTGTGGAGTCAAGAAGGAAGAGCAGCAGACACTGGAGGAGAACCAAAGGGGGAACCAACTGTATGTTTTTGGTACAAAGCCAGAGAAGGCATACAAAATGGCTACAGCTTGATTATAGCAATGTTAGGAAGCAAGATCTATCTCCTCTGCCAGATCCTTGGAAGCCGTAGCTCTCTGAAAATACTGAAGTAACTTAGTAGCAACTTTGGAGGCAAATTAAAAGAACATTCATAACCTCAGGAACTGTATACATTTAATCTCTTGTTAAAGACAAGTACTGGTCAGATTGAGTTTAATAAATCTAGCTTGATGGATACTCATTATTGATGAAATCAAGAATCAGCTTAATTTCAAGAAATCCAATTCCTTACACAATACATAATCAAGGCAACAGTAGCAAACTTAGGAAACTGCAGAAAGTTACAAAAAAAAGGGGGTGTTGATCAAAAAAAATTGAACTCATGGTCAATTATTGGCAAATCCCAAGTTAAACTCTGAAAATAGAGTTATAAAGAGGGACAAGCTGGAAAACTGTAGGAGAAGTTTCAGCTCTTTTCCCTGAGATAGTGCAAGGTAACAGATTTAAGTTAAAAAATTGGTCTGAAATTAAAGGGAAGAAATAAAAAAGGATATTCAACATCAAAAGGAATGAACTGGCAAAACACAAAGCCTAATAAAATAATCCTTTCAGCACACTCAGAGACTCCTACAGCTTTTCTGTTCCTAATAAGATGTGTACACCTAAACTTTATTAATGTTCTCCATATTTGTCTTTTTTCAGATACATGCACTCTAGGATTAATAATGTAGAGCCACTTGACCTACAAAAAGATCTCCTCATATAATTGGCATGGCAACAGATGCAACATATCTTTAACAGAAGTGACAATTAGTGGTACTGCTTCTGCCACCCCTTCAGTATGACATTAACCTTTACTGAATTACTTTCCTACAGCATAAAAGTAAACCCAAAGCTTCCCAGATGAAATATCCTTCTCTTGGGATGTTTTAACTTGGAGACACCTCAGTATCCCATAGATTTCATTCCTTGGTCTTAGTCTCTTAACAAACACTTTCTCCTTTCGCTGGCTGCAAAGTGTTTGAGAAAGTTAATTCATTAGCCAGTGGTGGTCAGAAGGGAAACAAATCTGGAGGGACACAGTGTTTCTTTCTACTCAACTAAGTGCTTTAAGCAGGTCTACGTCAACATATAAGCCCAACTACCAGCACACTGCTTGCCTGCAGGTATACAGTTAAGACAGAAATATATCCCAAAATCTTAAGCTTTTAGCTTTTTAAGGCAATTAGATTTTCAGTACCGACCAGTGCCTCAGCTATGTGACCAGCTAAGACTGAACCAGACTAAACATACTACAGCCTATTTAATCCAGCTGGGAACAGTGAATATTTTGTGGGGGCTTTATTTTACCATATTTTAATCCCACAGAGAGTATATGTCTATATCTGAGCTAGTTAATTTAAGCTTTTTTTTTTTTAAGCTAAAGAAGAAAAACAAGCATTTAAAAATGATTCATCTGACCTATTTTTGCTGATCTACACTACAATGAGATTGATCACACCTTAAATTTTGTTAAGTCAAATGACTCAGTCTCTTTCTGACTTGAAAAATAGAACATAATTATTAGCTCAGAAATTTTGAACATACAATGCAACCTTCTGCTGACAACAGAGACAAAACACTGCAGGTTACTAGACTCAGAAGGTCCAAATTCTTCTTCCCCTAGCACTGCACTTACACTACTTACCCTACACTGAAGCTACTTCACTTTGTTTTTCAGCACTAAAGAGAACCTTTGGCTTTCTCCATCTTAGCTGCCTTTTATTAGTTTTGTAATGCAGAAAAGTAAAAAGATATTTTGTTTAAATATTTTCTTCAACCCTTGTGAATCCAAATGAGAAGTGGAAGTTTGTCTAAGGCAATCACAGCTGAATATCTGGATGTTCTATGTTCTAACAGATACAGAAAAATCCAAATCTGAATCTTGGTTTGAATTCATTTTCCTAACCAAGCTCTACTAGTAGAAATAAACAGGATCTAATGTAGTAGAATATCAGACTTTAGACCCACCCTGAACTGATGTAGGTTTTTTAAACCCTGTATTTTTTATACCCTAAGGTTTTTTAAAACCCATACTCACTATAATCAAATCTCATTACCATGTCCACAGCTTTAAATTAAGGTTTACTCAGAATTAAAACAGCTTCTGCCAAATTAAATTATTTTAAAGTACAAGTTGAACTAAATAAGGAAAGCATAAAACAATCAAAAAATAAGCTCACAGATAGATAGATAGATAGATAGATAGATAGATAGATATAGATACATAAACACATTTTTCTTTATCAAAGGGCATTGTGAAAACTAAGCAGTAAAGTAGCCATAATTATTATAGCAAACTCGAAGAACTAAAATTTAAAATAAGACCAATACTTTCCAAATTCTCCAAGCTTTTGGCTACCTCTACTTTTGCATTGCCAGATGCAAAAATCCAATTCCCTCATTTCAAAGTGCTGAATTCACTACCATGAAAACCAATGACAGCTGGGATTACCCAGCATCTCTGAATATCAGATCCAGAGCCCCACACCTTCTTCCAAATTTAGAAACTCCCTTTGGCAATATTTGCCAAAGTAGTTTCCTATTTTGCTATACAACTCCTTAAACTACACAAGTCAGTTCTTAGGCCAGAGAGATCAAACCTCAGTTCCACCAAACACTGAGGGAGTCCTGACACTAATCACAATGAGGTAAAAATTAGCCTCTGCAGAAATAAGTGGAGGGGGTGTATATGAAGTT